CTCTCTCTCTCTCTCTCTCTCTCTCTCTCTCTCTCTCTCTCTCTCTCTCCCGCTCTGCGCCCTGGCCGTCAGCGGACTCCCTTTGCTCTCGCGCTCCTCTGAAATGTGTGTGCGCGCCCGACAGGGAGAGAAGAAGGAGTAGGAGGAAGAGGAGGAGGAGGAGGAGGAGGAGGAATAAAGTGTGTGTGCGCGCGTGTGTGTGAGTGAGAGAGAGAGAGAGAGAGAAAGAGAGAGGGCTGCATGTCCGGAGCAAGTAAAGGCAGAGAGAAGGGGGGGATTATTCGGCGCTATCGAAATATTTCAACACGTCGCCCTTCGCCGCGCAGGACTGAAGCCAATAAGAAGGAACCCATTTCAACAGGAATGCCGATGTTGTAAACAGCAGCAGAGGTGGAAACAATGCGCCGCTGTCAATTAGCTACTTCGGTTTAATTCGACTCCTGTCCCAAAGCGCCGCGACGGAACAGAAAAGGTGTCGGATGCGCGTCAAAGCTCCGAGAGAAAGTCGGCGTCGCTGCGCAACTTGAAGATTAATGGAGGTCATTTTTGCCTTTTCCTCCGCAGACCTTTGATGGAAACTCCGCACAGGACTGCAGAGATCAGCCCACAAGTCGTGAAAAATCCTGGATGTCTGTTGCTGCCGTGCTAAAGGAGGAGTTCTGATTTTCTTCTTTTTTTTTCTTTTTTTTTCTTTTTATTTTGACTCAATTTGCTGCTCGTGAACACACACAGTGCAGTATTTTTTTGTTTTGTTTTGTTTTGGTTTAATCCAAAACAGTCGTCTGTATTTTTGCTGCCTGCACTTGGATGAACTTCCTGATGAGAGATCCAGTCATACAAGGATCAAGTATGGCATATCATCCGTTTATACCTCACCGGGGTCCGGAATTTGCCATGAGTGCAATGCTGGGTCACCAGCCCCCTTTCTTCCCGGCCCTGGCTCTCCCGCCCAGCGGCTCCCTGTCTCTGCCGGGCGCCCTGGGGAAGCCAATCATGGACCAGCTGATGGGAGCCACGGACACTGGCCTGCACTTCTCCTCTCTGGGGCACCAGGCTGCTGCCGCCCACCTCAGGCCTCTGAAGACTCTGGAACCCGAGGAGGAGGTGGAGGACGACCCCAAAGTTCACCTGGAAGCCAAGGAGCTTTGGGAACTCTTTCACAAGAAGGGCACGGAGATGGTGATCACAAAATCTGGAAGGTGATTTTTTTTAAATTAAAGTCATTTACAGAAACACACAGACTAATAGCTCGTGGTGGAAATAGTTATCGTTTTAGCCACGTTGGTTTTTAAAGCTCTGAAACTATTTTACGCACCTCTCTTTAATCCCCTTATCAGTCTAACTCACATAATCCCCCCTCAAATTGTATTCAAATGTTTTCTCCAAAGCATATTAAAAATTTAAAGCCCAACTTTAACCACTTATTGAAAATATTACAGAAAAAAACGATTTTATTTATGAAAGGAGTGTGAAACTTTGTTCTGCTCATAAAAACCGCAGCCTTTTTAAATGAAAGGTCTGTGGTCAGCAGTATTTTTAATTTTTATTTTTGACTAATTTAATTTAAAAAAAATAAACCTCCAGTTAGCCTTTCATTTTGAAAGATTTAACAGGAAACTGACAGAACTGATTAAGTTCCAATATATTTGATCAAAACATGAACTTTTGTGTGACAAGCTATTTTTTGTCGTCATCGTGGCATGTGTCAGAATGTGGGGGTGTGTGTGCGTGCGTGTGTGTGTGTGTGTGCGTGTGAGAGAGAGAGAGCGAGAGAGAGAGCCTTCAAAGGCAATAAAAATCAAAACAGCATTCCTGTAGCACGCTGTTTAAAGTGGCTTGTGAAAAAAAAGAATGGATTTATTTGGACTTCTAACACATTTTTAGCAAATATTTGTACCTAAATAAAACTAAAAATCTTTCATTAAACTAGCTCAAATAAAACATGCTTTTACTATTTTTTCATGTGAATGGATACTTTTTATTAAAACATTTTTCTGTCTTTTTTTTATTATTGTTATTATAATTGAATCTCAAGGCGGATGTTCCCTCCGTTCAAAGTGAGGTGCACGGGTCTGGACAAAAAGGCCAAGTACATCCTCCTGATGGATATAGTTGCAGCAGACGACTGCAGGTACAAGTTCCACAACTCCCGCTGGATGGTGGCGGGAAAGGCCGACCCCGAGATGCCAAAGAGGATGTACATTCACCCGGACAGCCCTGCGACCGGAGAGCAGTGGATGTCCAAGGTCGTCAATTTCCACAAACTCAAGCTGACCAACAACATCTCCGACAAGCATGGATTTGTAAGTTCAACTAATGTATGTCCATTTTCCTATTTATCATCTTATAATCTCAACAAATTGTGTTTTAATCATCTGTTTTAATCCCCATTTGCAGGATTTTATGACAAGAAATGCAATTAATATATTATGTGATATAATCCCATAATTGCATTTTTTATTTAGGAGATTAACAGAAGATAATTCAGATTGATTATGAATGTGTCACTGCTAAAATATTTTCAGAATTAAAGCTCACAGTTTGAATGATTACTGTAAAAATGCTTTTTTATTTTTAAAATCATTCTCAGGTCTATTTTTGTATTTTTTTTTCTTTTTGGTGTGTGTGTGTGTGTGTGTGCGTGTGTGCGTGTGTGTGTGTTGCAGACCATTCTAAACTCGATGCACAAATATCAGCCTCGGTTTCACATCGTGAGGGCGAACGATATCCTGAAGCTGCCGTACAGCACCTTCAGGACCTACGTTTTCCCTGAAACCGACTTCATCGCAGTGACCGCTTATCAAAACGACAAGGTGAGTTCAATTACTGGCTCAAAGGGCTGAGTTTTTTTTTTTTTTTTTTTTTTTTGAGACCGTATTTATTTCCTGGAAATGTGGCCCGCTGGATGTGAGTGCGTGCGTGCGTTTCCTTTCATGCTCCTGCACCATTTTGTTGTCATAAAATATGAAAGACGCCGTGTTTGTTTGAGCGTGGTCCTGCTGGTTGTGTGTGTAGAGGAGAGTGTGTGTGTGTTGTTTAGTGGA